TAATATGTGCGATGAAGGACATGTCCTGGTCAAAAATGACTCCAAGGTTCCTCACAGCGTTACTGGAGGCCAAGGTAATGCCATCCAGAGTAAGAATCTGGTTAGACACCATATTTCTAAGATTTTTACTGTGAATATTAGAGATAGTCTCATGGTCCTCACGTCTTCTCTGGTGTTCTCTTTGTGGTTCTTGCTCCCTCTTCACTCCTCCCCCAGCAGGGTGGCGCTCCTCCCCAGCAGACCTTCCTGGACCCCTGCCTGTTTCCTGTGGGCCCTGTTTGGATGAGCATGAGTGAGTTTCTGCGTGGGACTGGACTGAGAGTGTGTCAGTCACAGACTGTGTGTAGAGGAGTGTGAACGAGTTAGCCTTGCCCTGTACTTTTACCCTGGAGTCCCAGTCCCTTCGTCACAGTACATATGTATATATGTCACCTGGTGTTGTAAATAAACCTCCCTTTAATGGCACAATTCTGAGTCCTGCCTGAGACAGATTAATCATATTTAAGACTGAAGCATTAATTAATGGCAGGACTTCTTTGAGTAGTTTTGTAGGAATGGGGTCTAAAAGACACATTGATGGTTTGGAGGAAGTAATTATTGAAGTTAACTCAGAAAGATCAATTGGAGAAAAAGAGTCTAACTTAACATCAATGGTACTAAGAGTAGCTGTAGATAATATTACATCTGTGGGAGGATTACTGGTAATTTTTTCTCTAATGATAAAAATTTTATTTGTGAAGAAGTTCATGAAGTCATTACTAGTTAACGTTAAAAGGATGGTTGGCTTAACGGAGCTCTGACTGTTTGTCAGCCTGGCTACAGAGCTGAAGAGAAACCTGGGGTTGTTCTTATTTACTTCAATCAGTGACGAATAGTAAGATGTTCTGGCATTGTGGAGGGCTTTCTTATAAAGCAGCAAACTATTTCTCCAGGCTAAATGATGATCCTCTAAATATGTGACACGCCATTTCCTCTCCAGATTACGAGTCATCTGCTTTAGGGTACATGTTTGAGAATTATACCATGGAGTCAGGTACTTCTGATTTGAGACCTTAGTTTTCACTGGAGCTACAGTATCCAGAGTCATACGTAGTGAGGAGGTGAAATTGTTAACAACATAATCGACCTCTGTTGGGATAGTGTTCAGATAGCTGCTCTGCTCTATGTTGGTACAGGGCATTGAAGATGATAACAGTGGTTGGATTATGTTAATGGATTATGTTATCTTAAACTTAGTTACAGCGCTTTCAGAAAGACATCTACTTTGATAAAGTCTACTCTCCACTGCTGTGTAATCAATTATTGTAAATGTAAATGTTATCAGGAAATGATCAGACAGGAGAGGGTTTTCAGGAAACACTATTAGATGTTCAGTTTCTATGCCATATGTTAAAACAAGATCTAGAGTGTGATTAAAGTGGTGGGTGGGTTCTTTTACATTTTGAGAGAAACCAATTGAGTCTAATAACAGATTAAATGCCATGTTGAGGCTGTCATTTTTAGCATCTACATGGATGTTAAAATCACCCACAATAATTATTTTATCTGAGCTCAGAACTAAATCAGATAAAAAGTCTGAGAAATCAGACGGATTTTTGATTCATTTAAACAACATAATCATCCTGCTGTAACCAGGTTTCAGTAAATCAATTTGTTGATCAATTATTAAGTCATGCACTAACAGAGACTTGGAAGAGAGAGACCTAATATTTAATAATCCACATTTCCTGATTTATTTAAAAGCAGCTTGTCATCACTGTGCCACCACGAGAGGAGAGCAGAGACAGGAGCCTGCTTATCTTTGTTTGGTCTCCAGTTTGAGCCTAAAACTCATTTCATGTTTATTTATAATAAGCCCTCTTCTCCTGTCTTCTTCCAATAATAATTATCTGAGTAATAAAATCAAAGGCTAACAGGAGGAGCGTGTAAGTCTGTGCTTTCACCGATAATAAACCTTTGTCTCTGATGAAAACACTGAGCGCGATCCGCAGCCTTCACATTGAAACCTTCTCTGTGTTACATAGCAAACATGGACAGAAACATGTAGACTACTTCCTGTGAGGCCAAACTGAGCCTGTGTGTTAATTAAAGCCTTCATCAGCCTCCTCCTCCTCACGTTTTGAGGACAGACAGAAAGACATGCTGTGATCTGAAACTGGTTTGAAGCACATGAGAACATGTGGAGGTACCTTTGGAGGTCAGATGACAGATACACTGGATAATATTTCCCCAGAAATCCAACCAAAGGTATCAGTTTAAAACTTATTTCATATATTTATTGTCTTTAAAGTGTTTTCATGTCTTTTAATCCTTATTTGAATGAATGCTTTACTTCACGGAGGTGTTTCTAACAGACAGGAAGCAGTGAAGCCGATCTATGGTGAACGTCATCACTCAGGTGTTTGCAGGTGTTTGGTGGTCCTCTGTGTGAGTCCTCGTTGATGCCTTGATGCGCTCAGTGACAGCACGCTGAAAGTCAGACCGGTGAGCCGCTTTTATTCTGAAAAACCGGAATGCTTTTATTTTGTAGAGCAGAAAGCGGATGTCCTGTGTGTGTGTCGATCGAGTTCGTGAGCTGCAGTACATCAACAGGTGAGAGAGACGGCGCGCGCTCAAAGGAAACGGAGAGGTGCGAAGGCGAGAGGATGGAAGGTGAGGAGGTGTCAGGGGAGGAGGTGTCAGGGGGGGAGGTGTCAGGGGGTTCCGCTCCTCTCTGAGCGGAGGACGGCAGAGGGTAGCAGACCTGCGGAGGAGGAGGTCCGCTACTTTCCGGAAAAACAGTCCGTGATTTGTTTCCGCCTGCTCGCGTTAATGATCGACCAGGCTTCGGTTAATCGACGCGCCGAGCAGAGTCATCCACCATCCTCTCAGAGTAACACACTGATGGTTTCAACACATTTATAGTTTCATTCAATCTCTGTCAAACCTTGTATGACTTATTTATTGTGTTATTTCAATCACTTTCATGTTGTAGATCTCTTTCCTTAGAGTCCAAACTTTCTCCTTAAAATAAACACTTTGGTAATATCAGCAGGTTTAGTCTACAAATGATGGGGTTGATTTAGCCCTCTGCCCATGGACTTCAGTTCTGTTACCATTTTGCCACATGAATCTTATTTTCGTAATAACTTAATTTTGTGCATCTCCTGCCTGATGTGCTTCGGCAGACGTGTGTGTTTCAGGTGTTTGCTGAGTCCCGTGCTGCGGAGTCCTCTGCTGTCCCCGCGGTCCTCGATGAAGATCCATGAAGGTAATTTGTGTTTCTTCTTTGTGGCGTCGCTTTAAGCAGCTGGACACGGTCACGGCTCAGCGATTAGGGGTGGGTTTTTATAATCGATTCATCGATTAAAATCAATTCTGGCTTGGATAACGTAAAATCCTGAATCGATTTTTTTTAATATAAATTTATTTTGCCCGAAATGCCAGAATCTCTGGTGACATCTCACAAAATTTCAAGAACCACCAAACAGTTAAGACAGTAAATGAGAGCAGGAACACGGATTCTGCACATAGACTTAAACACACAGCGCGACCCGCGGATCAGAATCAGTTAGATGTCGCCTTTCTCACGGTCGGGGCTGAAAGCCGACAGCTCGCTGATCCTGATGTTTCGGCGGGTTTGCACTTTGTGTTTACGCCCTTTTTGCGCCGATTCTAAAGCTGTTAGTTTGATCTCTCTCCAAACAATATTGACCAAACCAGCAGCAAAAAAAGATCCAAACGCTTCACATAAACATCATCATGAATTCACTCTGACTTTTACTGTTTTGCTTCCACCGCGATGCACAGCTCTCTCTCTCCCTCTCTCTCTCTCTGTACTTCAAGAACAGTTTCCCTTTCGTCATTATTCGCTTGCTTGTTACGCACAAGTCTACTGTTGCTTACAGCGCTGTCGGCCGCTGTTTTTTTCCCTTTTACATTCTTCCGAAAAGAAAACCTAATTTCTGCTGTTCAATACTGAACAAATTTAAGCTTTTTAAAATTATATAAAATGCAAAATGCTCAGCTGTGTCTGTAAAAAAACCCGCTGTAATTTCAGAGGTAATGTTCATAAGGTGATCAATGTTTTTCGTTCGTTTTTGATGTACTGCAGAATATTTTTATAAATCCCAGGCCAGGAAAATCACCTTCATGTTTTTCTGTGTTTTATCTTCAGCTACTTTGACACAAAGGCATCTGCTGTGACGCTCACACCTGTGATAAAGTCTTGCATGTGTCAGCTTCCTTTTTATTGATACAAAAATATGTAAATGTACTGATCTGAATTATAATATTTCTCACTGTCAAAATTTCCCAGATTTAAATCAAATCGAATCGAATTAAATCGAATCGTGGATCGAATCGATTCGGGACCTTGTGAATCGGAATTGAATCGATTCTAGAAATCAGTGACGATACCCAGCCCTATCAGCGACATCAGCAGTGACACCTCTGTGACCCTGTCACAGACACTCACAGCAGTTTCCTGAGTGATTCACTCGCTCCGCTTGAACTCTGCTCTCTGATTGGACGGTTTCTGTCAGTGGTGACGTGACTCTGTGGCCGGTCGTGGTCACTGTGGACCCAAAGAGGCGACTGGACGTGCCTGACAGGAGAGTGTGACCGCAGACTCCGAGGTCAGGCTGAGACACGATCCACCCACGCTGAGTCAGAGTCGAGCTGACATCACCTGAGCTGCTGGAACAACAATAGCAACCAGACTGAGATGTCTGTAGCTTTACTCTGTCCAGTCAGGCTGTGATGGGTCTAGATTTAGACCTCAGAGAGCTCAGGTGTGTTAGGTGTGACAGGTGACACTTTGTACAGCTGTGAGTCAGATTCCTGTCGACAGCACGTATTATAATATTTACTGAAACTAAACAGTAAAATAAACGTTTCCAAATTGACACTGCCTGTAGGGGGCGCCACAGCGGATCATCTGCCTCCATCTTTTCATCCACTCTGATGCGAATCCCTCTGTCGTCTCTGCAGCTCCGCCCATCATCAGTGCATCCTCCCCTCCTCCCCCATCCTCTCCCATCCTCCCCTCTCCCTGAGGTCACCTCGCAGCCTGAGAGCGTTCACACCAAACCTAAAACTTTGTTAGAGTCAGTCATTGGACATTGAAGTTTACTGAGCACGAAGCATCGGATCAGTTTTCCTCACTGTGTGAAGGAAGTGTGGCAGAAGAGACAGGAACCCTGGATCTGCTGCTGATGTAGAGGTCCGTCCCAGGAAGCTCACAGGTAGATGTTGTCAGCTGAATGAAACCTCTCGCTGAACGATCGGATCGGTAAGGAGCGACAAGGCCTGTCTGTGTCATGTTTCACTCTCAGGTTTGTCATAGTTGCTGTGATTTAATATGAAGGCGTGGTCTAATCCCGGCTTGGAATGTGCACGGCTCTGAAAGCTTTCCAGGTACGAAGCGTACGAGCTCTGGACTCTGAGCAGCGTGTTTGCTCTGCAGGTGGTGAATGCCTGAAGTGTCACGTCACTTTTAAGCCTTTCTTTTCCTGCAGCACACCTGAATCCGTCAGCCGATCAGCTGACCGAATCCGGCCCCGCAGCATTCCTCGCCCACATTTCCGAGGATGTTATGAGCTGGATAAGCCGCTCCCGCCCTGCACACTCACCCAAACACGCCGCTGTGAATCCCGTCAGCCTGCCGGGCTGCGGCACGAAAACGTCTTCCTGTTTATTCCCACTGACACGCTGGTCATCAGGCTGAAGCTCGGGCTGAGAAGGTGTGAACCTGCGCCGCACACCAACTCTGTGGAATAATAAACTGAAGTGAAAGCTTCGAGTGAGAGGCGCTTTCTGTCAGCTGTTCCTGCCCTTGGACCTGGATGATGTCACTGAGGAAGGACGATGGGATGGTGTGCGCTACGAGGTGAGTCCACCGTTCCTTCTCGGTTCCCCGGATATCCTGACGTCAGAGATCAGGGCGGTCGGTTACCAGCCCGCTGACTGAACATGGCTTTCTTGATCCAGGCACGAGGGCGCTCACCTGAAAGTTGGCGGAATCTGACCAATCACAGTTATGTTAGGAGAAGAATAAAGTATAAAACCAAGACGACTCAGAGGTCAGTGTCAGCAGCTCTGCATCAGTGTGTGTGTTAATAAAGTTTGAAGCCTGGACAGGAAACCATCCATCATTCAGGCATTTTATCAAATAAATGTCTGTAAACTCAGTAACTGTTAAAAACGCGGCACGTGTGCGTGTGAGGGCCGAATCGCATGTTAAAGGTTATGAAACAGAAACTGAACCCAAAACGAATCGCATCAAAGTTGTGACTGAGAATGAACATTTGTCACTCGGAGTCACACAGACTTCAGACCTGCTGCTGTCGACGCTCTGAGGGATCCTTAGGAACGGGGACGTTGTTTTCCTGAGATCTGATTGGGTGGGGATTTCATACCTGCTGATCGCTAATCTGGAGCAGGTTCGGTTCACAGCATCAGTTTATTTTTTTTAACCCCCTTCACAGAAACCTGGAGTTACCGGGGTTACCTGGATCAGGTGAAGTCCTGCTATGTGCTGCAGACCTCAGATCTGACTCTCTGTTTCTAAACGTATCCCCCTTACTGTCAGCCTGCTGCTCCTTGTCACCCCACCCGGCCTGCCGTGTTTGCACTGCCCTCTAGTGACGTCTGGAAGGGGGCGGGGTTAAAGCAGCTTCTTTCACACACAGGATGAAGCAGTATCAGATACAGAAGGATTATTCTGAACTGCGAGTCAGGCAAAGCTGCTCTGTTAGAGTCTGGATGTGCAGTTCACTCACAATACAGGATAAAGTCTTTATGTTTGGGGTGGTGTTCACTTCCTGTCAGGGTCAGAGGTCAGAGAGAACCTAAATGTAAACCCTGTTTGTTCTCAGAGAATCTGAGTGATCCCTGTGAGGAGGAGGATGAGCAGGAGGAGGAGGACCCACAGCACTTTGTCTCCTGTGAGAGGGAAACTTCAGCCTCTGCTGCCTGAAGCTCTGCTGCATGGACCCCACCGTGTTTCATCAACATGTCCTCTGATTGGTCCTTCCCTTCAGTCTGAAGATCTGTCAGCCAATCAGTTTCTGTCTGGGTGAGCGCCACTTCCTCTCCCCACCAGCTGCTGCAGTCACTCAGCTTACTCAGCAGCACGAGTGTGTGTGTTGTCCTGTGTGAGCCCTCCCACCTTCTTTTCCACTCCCATCCCCCTTCCTCACACACGGCCTGTGTGTGTGAGTCAGTGGAGAAAGTTACACTCTGTGTGTGTGTGTCTGTGTGTTGTCCTTGCAGCAGACTTTGCTTCAGTGCGGCGGGGGAGAGGAGTGAGCGAGGACGCTGCAGCTGGGTGAGGATCGGAGCTGAGGGGATCGCAGCGTTTCGGGGTTAAAGGTGAGCGTGTGCTTCCTTCAGTTTGTCCCCACTTGTATAAAAATGGCTCTGACCCGGTTCAGACCCGGTTTGAGGGTTTTAGGTGATCAGGATTATTTGTGAATCATCGGTTTTCTACAGAGGGTGAAGGAGTTTACCATCAGAGGCAGTGCTTTGGGGCTGTTTAGACTGAGGATTTTAAATCTCAGTTATCCCCTCTGTGGGTCACCGTGCCCCCCCAGATGTTCCAGCCGTGGTGGTGGGGAGGGGGGGGTGGACACTTCCTGAGTATTTGTGAAGGCTCTCAGTCATCCAGGTCATTGCAGTCTAAGGAGCTCGGGGAGAAAAGTGTCTGGACTTCTTAAGTTTGCTTAAAGACGTTTCACCTCTCAAGGAAACTGAAAGACGTGCAGACACACTTCCTCAGTCATTTATTCAGTGTGTGTGTGTGCTGGAAAATCTTTTTCTTTAGTTTCTGTCGTCTGTAGTTCAGAGTTATCTTTATTAGTTATTATTAGTTATTGATGATCTATATTGATTAACAGTGGTGTAGTACACTAGTTTAAATGACGTGTAGGTGCCCTGTGTTTGCAACTGTCTCTGTGCTTTTCTTCCTGCGAATGATGATGCTGTGTGTGAGCAGAGTGCTGATTGGTTGAAAACTCTCCTTCCAGCTGAAGTTGTTCTTTGGCGACCTGGTTGTTTGTGTCAGGCTGAGGACGTCTGTGTGAGTCTTTGTCATTTGCTGTTATTTCCCATGGAGACAGCGTGCCGTCCTCTCAGTCATCAGGGAATGTAAAGTCTGCAAGCTCCAGAGCAGACTGATGACAGCAAAATGCTCAGACATGTAATGAAATACCTGACAGTCTGTTTCTTTCACAGCCGTCTCCATCATGGAGGTGCCCAGGAGGCTGTCCTTCCCACTGGTTCTCCCTAAACCAGCCTCGTCTGCTCGGTCTCCTCTGGGAGCTGTAGGTCAGACAGCTGGAAGCAGCAAAGATCAAACTGGAGGGGAAAAGTTCATCTCAGAGGAGAAGACGCCTGAGTCAGGGGTGATTGTAGTGGTGGAGGCGCCACCTGAAGATGGAAAAGCTGCTCGGCGATTCTCCTCTCAGGACAGTTTCTCAGAGGAGAGCTCGTTATCAGAGGAGAGGCTGGAAGAGGAGGCCAGAGAGACCCAGAGGAGGGCCGAGGAGGAGGAGGCAGCAGCCAAGGAGAGGGCGGCCCAGAGGCAACAACTGGCCATCCAAGAGCTTGTGGAGTCTGAGAGGAGCTACCTGCGCCTGCTGCAGCTCAGCACCGTGACCATCAGGAGCAACCTGCAGCAGCAGCTACAGGTAGGACCTAGGAACACACCTGCCCATCGAAGCAGGAAGCAGGGGGAGGGGCCAAACTGCTCGTTTCAGACGGAGGGCGACCCTAGGGCCTGCACTGAGCCCTGGGATCAGACACAGAAGGATTATTATCGACTGTGAATCATGCAGAGCTGCTTCAGCTTTATTTATATAGCACCAAATCACAACAGCAGTGGCCTCAATTTGCTTTATATTGTAAGCTAAATAATGATAATATATAATAATACAGAGAACACCCCAACAAGGACGTCTGAGAACAAGCACTTGTTCATAGAGCTCATCCAGCTGGGGAGGAAGAAGGGCTGAGGGAGGGGACAGAGATTAATAATAAGCAGTGAATAAATGCAGGGGGGTGTATACAGTCACAGTGACAAACTCTGATAGTGACAATACAAAGAAGCAAAAAGAAAGTGGCTGAACGTAAAGCTGCTGCTCACCCGTGCAGCAGGTGAAGGTTTTAGCATCCTGCGCCCTCTCAGTGGCTTCTTATCACCTGCTTTTCATTATGCCTGTTCCGTTGCTTAGTACTGCTAAATGACAGCTTATTATCACTGTGCTAATGAAATGAGGCCTCATAAAACATAATGAAATCAGGCTTTATGGGCAAGGAGAGCTGAGCTGTGGAAACACAGCAAGGGAGCAGGGTGAAGGCGTGAGTGAATGGCGGCTCTGTGAGACAGATGAGCCACTGGATTGTGCATTGTTCAGCCTCCCAGCGCCCAGCGCCCCCGTCTTTCCAGAATGAGCACAGATCCACCTTTATTATCAGAGGTCAAAGGTCAGCCAAGCTCTGACGCTGCTGCAGCACATCCCCATCACTTTTTCAGCGTTCCTCAGATGTTTTTATATACTCAAAATACATGAACACAATATGTTATAATGGGTAATTTGGGTTATAATGGGAGCGTATGGGTTGTAATGGGGAACCTTCAGACTTTGGGGTTAAAGAAGTGTCTGATATCAGGTAAAAACCCTTATTTTCTGTCTCCCCTCCACCTGCTCTGACCGAAGCCGCCTCCAGCTGGACTGGACAGCATGTTTCTGCACATCGAGGAGGTGATCGATGTATCGAGCCGTCTCCTGAGCCTGCTGGACCAGAAGCAGCTTCAGTCTGGAGAGCCTGACTTCCTGCAGAGTCTCTGTAAGCGACCTGACACCAGACCTTTACTTTGACGTGTCACCCTCACAGCTTCAGTCTTTCTGTCGTTGTAAACAGGAAGTCAAACAGGAAGTGGTTGTTCTTTGTTGTTTTTCTGACTCTTATCCTTTTTCTTTATTGACACAAATTTAAAGATGGAGTATTGTGATTCAGCTCAGGTGAGTTCCTGAATCACACAGGTGTCACTTCTTTGTTTTTGTTCCGGGGAAGACTCTTCTTCACAGACCAGCTCAGTAAAGTCAGACGTTGTGGCGCTCTGACGTCTGATAAGCTGATGTTTCTCTAACTTCTCACAGTTTTTGTTGGATGAACACAAGATGATCATCATCGAGAAACCCGGGAGGTAGACAGTGAAAATGATGATTGTCTTCGCTCTTTACTCGGCACAGCTGTTTCCCGTGATGAACGTTAAAACTTCCATTCTGCTGCTTCTTGTAAAGGAGTAAAGGTGTCTTTTCCTTCGCTGACAGGTGACTCGTTTCTCAGCCTGTCATCAGAGATGGAAGCCGCCTATAAGGAGTACCTGGCACACTACAATCATGTGACGGAGGTGGAGAAGAGCTACAAACAGAAGGAGGCTCTGTGGAACGAGGTTGTCAGAGTCATCAAGGCTGCGGCGTAAGTTTACGGCGCCTCGTCTCGCCTTCGACAGGAACTGCTCAGAGCCGAGGAGCTGACTGATGAGTCTTGTGTCTCTCTTGACCTTCAGGCCTGACGTCAACGCCACGTCGCTGAGCTTCTTTTTGGTGATGCCCGTGCAGCGGATTGCCCGCTACCCCCTGCTGCTGCAGACCATCCAGAAGCACACCGACGCCTCCCACCCGGCCTACGCCCTGCTGGAGCAGACCGCTCACACCTCTGTCGCCTTAAACTGTCGTATCAACGAATACAAGCGCTTCCGGGAAGTCGGTGAGGAGCGTGACTAATGGGGCCGGATGTTGGCGTGAGAAAGCAGAAGGTTTTAACTAGGGCTGAACGATTATGGAAAATAATCTAATTGCGATTTTTTGCCCCAATATTGCGATTGCGATGCGATATGCGATTATTTTTTAAGGTCTTTGTCTTCTGTATTATTAAACAAAGACAAGCAATACATCATATAGTATGGCCAATACTATATTACATTAATTTTAAACTGTTCTTTCCTGGAAGACAGACCTCTGTTATGATGACATGAGGTGATGCATGAATTGATGACTGACATTTTTATTTAACTTCTTCAATCACAACAGTATATTTGAACATACACAATAGTTTATTTTTAGCTTACAAACATCTGAGCATAAAGTGCTGACAAGGAACCCTGGTGTAAACATTAAAATGAAAGTCAGTACAATGTGCAGATTGCAGAAATATACATAAAAAAAATCAGTGGCTTTACCACACTCAGTTTTTCGACATCTGTGAACTACTAGACAGTCATTCAATTAAAAAATAATATTAAATAAATAAAACTAATAAATAAAAAAATGCACACATCTTACTGATCTCTGCAGTCAGTAACATTACACATAAAGTGCAAACATAATAGCAATTGTATAAACACACACACAAACACGCCTTTAAAATTTAAAGGCGTGAAATTGGACGGTCTAGTTCTGATTAGCGTCACCGCTGTCTCGGTGGAGTTTAATAAACTCGGCCGTCTGCTTCTTGCTATCTAAAATATAACCAGACACTGGTGTAAATTCTCGACTGTCTCATACTTCTGTTTAATAAGTTTTCTGTTTGATGTTTATTCAGCTGTGTGAAAACCAAGGAGGAACCCACCCGGGGGATTAATAAAGTTTTATTTTATCTAATCTAATAACTTTAATCTCAGCCAAACCGATTTACTCACGAACAAACAAAACACTGAAAAAAGCCCAACAATAACGTTTTTAGGTTGTCTAAGTGACTTATATATTACGTTTAACCCGAGCAGCGAAACTCCGCGGTGATCTGAAAATGATGTGCCGGGAGTTGTGCCGTTCTTGGCCGCATCAGTAATCCTCGAGCTCCCGGCTAGCTGTCGAGCTAGCCGGAGGGTAGCAGACGCCTCTGAAAACGTCGAAGCACTTTTGGAAATATGGGATATCTTGATAAACCGAGCAGATATTTGATGTTTACACAACTACTTTCTCGCCTGAAAATATGTTAAAAGTTTATTTTGTGACCCAGAAAGATTAGTATGAGTAATTTTAAAACTTAGTAGCGGCCGCCATTGCTGGAAACTGGAGTTTGGCTGGGCCGCGCTATGAATTCTGGGATATGGTAGTAATTTGGACAGCCTTCGGCGCGTCGCTGTGACGTAATCGGTCTACAAATGCGGCCTCAGGAGGATGCAGCCCATGAATTTGGACATGTCCAGAGTATAATCGCAGCCTTTGCGGTTAGAAAATTGCACTTGATCATGTCGCGATATTATCGCAAATGCGATATATCGTTCAGCCCTAGTTTTAACTGTCACTCGTGTTTTCTAGCTGACAAATACAGGAAGACGGAAATGCTGACCATCAAGGACAAGATCGTCCGCCTCAACACCCACAGCATTGCCAAGAAGACCGCCAGGCTCGGTCAGCAGATCAAACACGAGGCCGGACTCAAACCTAAGGTAGGCCGAACCCTGAGCGTCATCCACAGGAAGCTCCGCCCACATGTTTGTGAGGAGCAGCCAATCAGCAGAATGCTGTCTTAAAGGAGGAGGAGCTAAAACAGCTTGTGTCAAACAGCACCAGGATGACGCACAGAAGGATTACTGTGAACTGTGGATCATGCAAAGCTGCTCTGGTAGAGTCCAGGAGTGAGAACAGCAGGTTACAGCTCATACAAAGCCTCCGTCAATCATACACTGTAATCATACGCGTGGAAGGATCAGCAGGGGGAGCAGGCTGCAGACAGGAAGTGTCTGATCAGACCTCCCACTCTCCCCAGGCCACTGCTGTGTTCACAGTGGGTGTGAACGTCCGAGCCAGAGTGACTGTACAGCACACATCCTCCATGAGTATAAAAATTACAATCGATGTCTCGCAGTAAGTTACTGTCAAGTTTGTTGGCGCTGGACTCTGAACTGTGGAATCAGACAAGTGGGTTTATTTACAACACCGGTGATGCGTACATGTATAGAGTGAGGCAGGGAGAAGGGGGCTGGGAAAAAGGGGAACGCACGCTCAGTCCAAATCCAGAGTCCACACCCTGCTCACTCTCACTCACACTCATCTGGGAAGGGTCCAGAGACGGATTGTACAAGGGAGATGGAGATAGACGTCAGAGCTAGGCTCAGGGAGATCAGCATCAGTCTGAGCCGGGCTACACTAACATGCATTTGTGTTGGTGTGAAGCTCAGGTGACCACTGGCAGGTCTGATTGACCAAATGCTGTTAGGTGGAAGCACAGCTGTGGACTAGGGAGAGTGGAAGGTCTGATCAGACACTTCCTGTCTGCAGCCTGCTCCCCCTGCTGATCTTTCCACATGTATCATTACAGTGTATGACTGACTGAGGCTTTGCATGAGCTGTAACCTGCTGTTTTCACTCCTGGACTCCACCAGAGCAGCTTTGCATGATCCACAGTTCACAGTAATCCTTCTGTGCGTCATCCCGGTGCTCCTCCTATATAACAAATGTCTTCTGATTGGCTGCGCCTCACAAACAGCAGGTCTTCTCTGAACCTCTGGCTCCTACTGACACTGACCCCATTACTACACGTTTTAAAGCAGTGTGTCACACAGCTAGTTTATGTAGCGCAGCAGTGTGTGAGCTCAGAGCATCTCTTTAGACCGGTGTGTTGGATGTCTTGCAGCTGGTGGACGAGGAATTTGATGCCCTGGAAGGATTCTTCTATGTTTTGGAAAACGGCATCCTGGAGCTGCTGGAGAACGTGGAGATGTACCTGCAGCACCTCCAGGTAAACTCACGCTCACACTTTGTCTTGGCTCTCGACTTCAAAGCTTTAGTGGACTTTATTGACTAAAACTTCAAACCTGAATAAACTCATTTGTAAAACATAAATTTGCAGCAGTCACTGTTTCAGGCTGTGACTCACGGTCAGACGCTATAATTACAGACGTGCAGTCATGAGTTTGTGAGTCTCTGTCAGGAGGCCACACACACGTACCTTTCTGTTTTCCTCATTCTGTCCTTCACACCAACACTCAGCTCTTTGTATCTCTCTGCTGTTTAGCTTGTTTAGACGTTAGCGAGGATGACCCGCCCACATCTCCTGCTCTCCGTCTGCAGCACAAACACCGACTTTAAGAAATGCTCAGAAACATTTCTTTGCTTCAGCTTCACTCTGATGTGTTTCATTGTACATGTTTGGTTTGTAAAATAACGTGCTGAGGGCGGCGAGTCGTGTTTGGACAGCCAAGCGCTCAGCTGTGTGTGGTTGCTCTGCAGGGCTTCCTGTCCTGCCGCACAGAGGACTTTGACTTGGACATGGATGGAGAAAAGGCACCGATCTGCTACAAAGAGATCACGACGGCGCTCCAACAGTGGATCCTCCCGATGTTTGTGAGTGATTAACTCTGAGAACGGTGCTGCGGTCTTTACAGGTGCAGGAAATGTCGCAGCACTGCATCCTGTCGGCTCGTGTGCAGTTAAGAGGACAGGATGAGCTGCGATTACAGACACAGCACCAAACTTTACAGATTACATCACAGACTTCTCTCTGTGTAAACAGCTTCTGATTGGTGGATGGTCTGCATCCCACCTCCGATCTCCTCTGCACACGCTCAGAACATGATGAGAGGTCAGACACAGGCCGCTGTGTCTCTGAGCGCCTGCAGAGGTGGACATGCATATTTTGCCCCCTGTGAAAAGATGATGCAGTGAACGACAGTCTGCTGATGTCGATCTGTTCTTTGTTCCTTCTTCCAGGAGAAGAGGATGAGGAAGCTGATCCACCAGCCGCTCTGCGCTCTCCGGGACCTCCTGGTGGGCCCGAGGAACCTAATCAGGAAGAGACTCGACAAGCTGCTCGACTACGAGGTGATTGAAGGAAAACCCAACTTGAGCTACGAGGAGCAGGCTGTGGCCAACACGTACAGGTGGGAACTGGTTTCTGATGGTTCCTGATGGTTGGAGCTGTGAGTGACCTCGGATGATCTGATATCCTCGTGTTGGTGTTGTTCCCAGACCATCATGAAAATGTTGTTCCAGGTTCAACATTGCAAGTGACCAATCACATTGTTGTGACGTTATTCTTTTGCGCGCCAAGCCATTCGTGCATTTATGAAATTCCAATGTTGCAAGGACAATATCAATTCTGCTCACTGTTTATTAAAGGGTTACGGTTAGGGTTAGGGTTAGGGTCAGGGTCCGTTGATCGGCGGACAGAGGCGGTTTCATGCAGCTTAAGTACAGTTTTTTGTTTTACGCCGGTTTTTCCCGAAGTCGCAAAAGTATGATGTCACAACATTCTGATTGGTCACTTGCGATGTTGATCCTGGAACAACATTTAGTATGATGATCTGGGAACAACACCAACACGAGGATATCAGATCGTGCGAGTGACCTCCTCTACTCCCCTCTCCTCCTGACAGGACGTTGAACACACTGCTCCTGACGGAGCTCCCTCAGTTTAACGGGCTGGCTCTGCAGATGATGTGGAGCACGTTGGGGACGTTCAGCTGTCTGCACAGAGATCTCGCAGCAGACATGGAGCAGCTGTTTCACAGCTTCGCTCAGCAGGTGACGTCCTTACAGACAGGCTGATGCACAAAAACACGTTGGATATCTGTGCTCATCCTTCACGTGTCTCCCTGCAGCTCCCTCACAGCAGCCTTTCTCCTGGTGCATTCTGGGAGTGGGCAGAGTCTTCGGTGCTGGAAGGAGCGAGGAGGCTGCAGCATTTATGTCGAATGGTGGAGGACAAGCTCAACGCGCCAGATGCCCAGGTTAGCGTTCAGATCGGCTTTCATTCATTTATACAGCAGCAAACCACCTCAGGGCGCTTTACACTGTAAGCTACAGAGCACTATGGGCAACAGTGGACCACTCAGCTGACCTCAGACATGTTTGACATGTTTCAGCTGATTGGTTACTGCTGAAAGGTCAGAATAAAAAAGATAACAGTGATTTTAATCATCCAGCAAACATCCTTCTCCGAATATTTAACCACACCGACGCGATGGTGTCACACCGACGCGATGGTGTCACACCGACGCGATGGTGTCACACCGACGCGATGGTGTCACACCGACGCTCCCAGTCTGAGCTTCAGTTTCCTGAGATTGTTGGTGTTCGGTGGGGGCGGTGGAGTTTGCTGTGTGAGCGTTGAGCATCGTTCCTGAAGTAATCTGTCCAAAAAAACGCCACCTGTATTTCCTGTTCTGCCGCGTGTTTTGTGTGAACTGGTTCAGCTACTGGTCCCAGTAAAGATCTGAAGTTCCAGTCACGTCACACTTAGCTGGAGGGTATAATACAAGGTTCTGGCTGAAGAATGTGGCGAATCACCATCATACGTCATTCGCAGGCGATAACGAGTCAGAGACGAGGAAGCGGTGAATGTGCCACTTCTGGTTCTTCAACTTTGCAGCTGCAGAACCAGAAGTGTCTCTTTCTGAGCCATTGTTTTCATTTCTGAACACCTTCCAGGTAAATTTGAGCACGTGTGAGTAATTCAGCAGCTCTGCCCTCTCTGAGATCTGACGTCTGCTCGTGTCTTTCAGCCTCTCAGCCCGTCCTCTCAGCGCCGTCTGAAGCAGCTAACGGATAAGCACGGCTCTGGAAAGATCTTCCAGGTGATGAGCACGGTCATGGGCACCCGGGACCTGGACCTGAACTTGACTAAGGGCGAGCTGGTGGCAGTGATCAGCGAGGCCGACAGCTGTGGAGACAGAAGGAGGTGGCTGGTCGATGCAGGAGGTGAGACTTTTTATGACGTTTGCACTAAAACCTGAGAGGAAGAACTGTGGCGCCATCTGCTGGTGAGCCGCTGTTATTGCAACTGAAACAGACGAGCAGCCAATGGGATCGCTCTGTGAGGGCACACCGGGTTGGTCTGACACTGTCAACAAATAAATGTTAAACTATATTTACGTCTTCACGCAGGGAAGCGAGGCTACGCTGCTGCCTCGAAACTCATTCGCTATCACCAGCCAACAGACGACCCGCCCCCTTCACCACACCCGAACCTGACAGAAGACGTGACCGCACGCAGAAGACACTCCTACAGCCCGGCGGGCAATGCCCCACTGCCCATGAGTCAGCCCTGCTTCCAGGTAATTGAATTCCTCTGCATTAGACTGTCCAGGAGACGGAGGCCACGTGCTGTCCACCAGCGCAGGGCTGCAGGTTGATCATCCAGCTGCAGTCAGAATACTTTAATAATCCCGACAGTCGTCCCGAGATAATAAGAACAGACTGAACTAATTAAGTAATACAACATGTTACAAAGTTCGCTCTGATATATACAAACGGGCAGGAAGGACGTCCTGTGTCATTCAGTGGTGCATTATAGGTAATGTCAGTCTCTGACTGCGTGTGCTCCTGTGACTGGCCAGCACGTTGTGGCGTGGGTGGGAGGTGTTGTCCTTATCTTGGACAACACCCTCCTCTCCACCTTGACAGCGTCCAGCTCTGCCTGTTACTGGCCGTCCCAGCATGCAGCAGCACAGAGGACGGCTCTGGTCACGACAGTAAGACTGAATTTGTTGTTGTGCACAGCAAATGCGATGCTGTCACATCCTTGTACGCGTTGATACGCTGCTAGATGGAGCGCCGGACTCTCAGCGGTTTGCTCCTGAACAGTAATGTGACACAGAGCGGCTCTACCTGAGCAGGTGATTTAAAGACCGGTAGCTTGTTGTTGATGCTGGATCCTGTCTAAGCTGTCAGTGTTTACAGTGTTTGGCCCACCCAGTAACAGCCTTCACGTGGATCTGACTCGGTCACACGCTCTGGGCTCCTACGACACGCTGCTGATCCTCCAACACAGCATCCAAGGAAGCTTCACGTTTTCATTCAGTGTTTGCACAAGTTTGTAGGGATCAGTAAGAATGTCAGATACAATCCTGTTCCACCCACAGCCCGTGGGTATTCTGTGAGGCGTTCATGGAAAGATCTGCTTTGTGCCAGTGCATGCACACGTCTCCAGTAGCAGCAGCAGGCCTGTGTCCACTTGTCCTCACACGCTGTCTTTCTGTACCTCAGAGGCGCAGTCCACACCGGTCTCTCAAACCTACGGTTTTTATACCATCATCAGCTGATTGTTTCTTAAACGGTAGAAGAAGATGTGTTCTGTGCTGCCCTCGTCTTACACGTGACGACGTGTGCTTGGAGTACTTCTTCTTGTCTTCGTGTTGATGCGTTGCACTTCTCTGAGCGTAATTCAGTGCAAAATAAGCGCTGCTGCTGTTGAGCACGGTTCATTAGAAAGAGCCGGGTCAGGTGGTAGTAACGAACCCACGCTGGTGTTTACAGCCGAGTGTGTGTGTTTGATGTGTGATGACACACTGATGTGTGTAATGCTGCTGTATCAGCCTCTGCAGCTGGAAACATCTGTGACTCGCAGTGTCGTTCTGACCTTTATTTAAACGCCGTCAGGGAAGACGCTGTCACTTCCTGCCTCTGTTTCCTGTGTGCGGTCTGCAGGTATGAAAGGAGCAACTGAGTGGAGCTTAATCACAGATGGGCTCTGTAACGCTGATGATGTGTGTTCCTCCTGACAGCCAGGAGGTGCATGTACGTGATGGAGGAAGGATGTGTGGATACAAGTGACGGTGTGGAGGCGGAGACTGTTAAATGCTGCTTTTTTTTCATGTTTCCAGGTTGTGGGCGCCTACGACTTCACGGCTAGATCCAAACACGAAGTTTCCTTCCGGGCCGGAGAACCCGTTCGTATCCTGGAGCCTCACGACAAACGAGGGAGCCCCGAGTGGAGCCTGGTGGAGGTCAGAGGAGGTCAGAGAGGCTACGTGCCCTCCAACTACCTGGCAATCATGCCCGTGGGAGCGGGGCTGCCCCCGAACCCCGGCTTCTTCCTTTAGGGGGGGAAACTGCAGCTGGTGCAGATGAGAGGATGGATGGAAGAGCCTCCCGGGATCAGCTGTTTACAGTCTCAGTGTTAATCCTGCCACTTTATCTACTTTACGAATGGAAGTGTAAAGTTTCTCCTGTGGCGTTTCCTGCTTCCACTTCCTGTGCAGCGTGCACAGGATCGAAGCTTCAGGAGCAGCAAATGAAGTTTACTGACTTTAGCTTTAATAATGAAGGTTTACTGGTCTGCAGTGATCTCTGCACTAACATGCACAATCATCCAAGAACGCTCTTCAAAGATGGCGTCTGTAACGCCATGAAGCTCTGACGGCGTGTCACCTCAAACAGCCTGAACATTTGGACGATGTTCGGTGTGCGGCGAGGACACAAAGCTGTTTTTAAGATGAAGGACGATTTTCATGGCTGCTGTACGGTGAAGCGCTCATTTCCCATGAACCTCAGAGTGATGCTGCATACATGCAGGATGTGAGCTCTCTCAAGCTAACTGTAACGTGTGTGTGTGTGTGTGTGTGTGTGTGTGTGTGTGTGTGTGTGTGAACCCTCTTCACCTGCAGCAGCGCTGACAGGTACACGGCGCTCTCATCATCTCAGACTGAGTAATGTGATGTAAATGTGAAACGTCTCCGAGGCCGAGGAAGAACAAGACTCAGCAGGAGGAGGAGCTGGGAGAGGGGCGAAGGACAGCGGCAGTTTCTGCTTTGCCTATGAGCGGATTTAAATTTCGTTGTACTTTGATTCCAGAGTTTTACGTAGGAGTGAAATGGGTCAGGACAGAATAACCTCCTCCTGCATTCACATTCACCTGACGATGCTTGTTGCTATGGATACGGCTCAGGCAGTGCGGGTCACGTCTGTGGCATTTGCTCGGCCGGACTAAAGCTGCAGCAGCATTTCTTGATTCCCGCACTTTTGGGTCAGAATCATTTGAAAGCATCTCTGAGCCTCCTGATTGGCTCTTAGGTCATAAACAGGAAGCTGAGCTCCAGTAGTTTTGCAGCTAACAACAGCTTGAATGTTTGAGCACCACAGACTTTCTCCTGGCCTCCTCCTGTGGGGCTGAGTAGCCTCAGCTGCTGTGAGCGTGGAGCAGAGCAGAGGGAGGCCGAGAGTCAGAGCTGCTCAGCTGTTCCCATCAGGCTGAATGTCAGAAGGAGGAGGAGGAGGATGCTTCTCTCCTAAAATACCAGATGTCCTCAGGGTTAGTCAGATGGACTGAAACCTCAGCCTGAGAACATTTACCTGATTTCCCCTCCTCAGAGCCCGGTTTAGGATGAGGGGAGCGGTTCATTCCTCAGTTACTTTGGGAAGTTTTAATTCCACAGACGTGCAGATGAAGCTGCAGCGTTCCTTATGTGGAGGAAGTAGATATTTGAACCCATACGCACACGGAAACCACAGAGGGAACATTTCTGGTCAGCATCTTCCTCGCATGCTGTTCTCATTTTCACCACCAGAGGGAGGCAGAGACTCGGAGCGTGTGTGCATGATCAGACTAACTGTGTGTGTGTATGCGTGTTTGGTAATCGTGGCCACAGTGTGTACTTCCTGTTTTGTTTCTGTGTGGTTTCACGAACCTGCTGCTCAGTCGGTCCTGCTGAGTCATTCTGTTTCCTCGATGCTGCAGAGCTGCGTGACCTCTGCTGAGCTGCCACAGTTGTGATATTGAACTCAGTCACACAGCAGGTGGGAGGCTGAGCAGCAGCAGAGAGTGTGGCTTCAATAAAACTAAACTCAAAACTTTTTTGTGGCGTTGCATCATTTCATAATCAGATGTTAGTTGTGAGAAGAAGCACCTGAATATTTGTGATGATTTACGAAGCTGTGGGGTCCACACCCACTCAGCCCCTTTTACAGTTAAACATCTGGAGACACAGCTGTTCTTGTTCATGCATCATCATCATCATCAGTGTGCACATTTGCACACAGCCTACAAGTTTTCGCTATCTACTGAATAACAAGCTGAAAGAGGAAGCTGCAGTTCCTCTGGTGTCCAGCAGAGGCAGCAGTCCCCATACACAGCCTGATACAGGAACAGCATTGGTCTCCATAGATAATTTACTCATTCATAACAGCTGTCTCAACCCTGTGTTGTACAGAATACAGATAAGAGGAAAAAGAAAAGTCATTATATGCAGATGACAGATTTTTATTTTACTGGACTTTGTTTGAATTCAGAGACAAATATAACAGCTGTCCAGGTGAGGATGTTTCTGTACCTCACCTGTTTAAATTATATTAAGGCTTAAGGTTTGCATTACTAGGGGCGTGGTCTCTCCGACTGACAGGTGGATGGTGACACAGGTGGGTGTAGCTGCTAGCTTCACCCGAACAGCACCTCAGCACCATGTTTGTGCTGCTTGAGAGTTTTGAAGCATTTTAATGACATCATGTGACCAATAACATGGCTGTGGTGAGGTCACTGTACTAACAGATTGTGCAGGAAGGCGGAGCTCCAGATTTAGTGCAGGGGAAATTTCTAGGATTTTGATTGGCTGTTACTGATTAGGTGGTGTAGCTGATACCTTAGCACACCCTCACGGTCACTTCAGTCTCCAGAAAACACGACTGGACTCTGAAGCTTGGATATGTTGAGTTCAAAACTAGCCGGTGCCTTTACCTCCACCTTTTTAAAATCTTTGTCAACACAGTGGTGCAGAGAGAGGAGTATCCTTTATTGTTCATCCTTCTGCACGGTGACAGTCATATGGAGTCACACAGAAGTAAGGAATAAGAGACTACAGGAAATGGAGAAACTGTGCAAATACCAGCAGGATGTTGGTATTTATTGACTTCATAACCAGTGATGGTTATGAAGTATAACGGGGAGGAAGGACCTGTGACAGAACTGGACCTCTCCAGCTGTGTGTGTGTGTGTGTGTGTGGGCTTCCTGATGAGCTTATCCAACTGATAGTCGATAACACTAACACACAGCATGGCTCAGAAGCGCGTCCTCCGTCTCCTCAGCAGGTGGAGTCTGCTCTCAGTCTTCCTGTAAAGAGCATCAGTGAACACCCAGGTACTTCATTACTGTGCCTGTGTAGAACTTTCAGGTATCTGTACTTTACTATTTATTTTTCCCTGAAACATTTTACCCCAAACATTTGTACACAAACATCTGTTCTTGCTCCTCCTTACATTGTCAAAACAGGCTTGTTGCTTTAGGTTTAACGTCTAAACGTCTTGATCCTAAACCCTGTTGGTTTATTGATCACTGAGGGATGTCCCACAGAGGTGAAACCTTTAATTTATGTGTCTTTAAAGCGCATTTCTCACAGATCAATGGTGTTCACAGTGCAGATGTTAATAAAGTTGCAGTACTTCAGCGCTACAGAAGAGGAGTGGTCATAAAGGGAGGAGCTCAGCAAACATCAGCAAACACACAAACTGTTGGTGTGTATGTTTGTCTCAGTATGTGTGTGATCTGAAGGTCCAGCTGCTGGATCACAGCATGAGATGGAGAGAGGGGGAAGAAAGAGCACAGGGAGGAAGAAGACCGTTGGATTTAAACAAAAGGACTGTTCTGTAACTCTGTGTTGTTGAACAGGTCAGCTGATCACAGCCTCACAATGTGCTGCTACAGCCACGGAGAGCTCCTCCACCTTCTTACACCATGTTGTAACAGCTGATTTCTGTTTATGGTGGAGGTGTAACCCCACTCAGTCTCTATGTCCGGTGCTGTATGAGTAAAACTCTCTGGACTCAAGATGGGTAGAGCTCAGGCGTGGTTTATTCCCCTTTTGTGGGTCTCTGCAATAACATGGGACATGAATAACCATGGGTTTCTAACGGGATAAGCTTAGGGAAAACCATCTTACCAGTAGCAGACTTCCATTGCAGATTTTCAAAATAAAAGTTTCAAAATCAAATCTTTCAAAATAAACCCATGGTTGCGATGCCAAGTTTAGCAGGAATTTAACCACAACAAAACCATGTTCATTCTTTTACATTGTTACAGAGGCAAATTACAAACTTCCTGCCCTGACGCAGTGTGAGCTGATAGGGATCACACCAAAGAGTTCAAATGAACTGAATAAAAACAGCAGTGTTGTGTTGGGTTCTTGAATGAAGACTCCTGCTCAAGCAATAACATGGAGCAGTATATTTTTAATAACCATCTTCGAAGCTGTTTCCATGCCAAACCATTTCCCATTTTGTGGGTAGGTGGCGCATGCATATACAATCTATATAGTACCGCCCTATACAATTAGGGCGGTACACTCTCACTCGTAGCTGCATAATATTTTTTTTCAATACAGACATACCCAAACATAAACTTTGCTATTTTCATAAACACCCTTTCATCACTCTCTTAACCCAAGTTAAAAATAGTATGGGCTCAAATTGTGGTCATAAATATTTTGTACTTGCAAATCAGGATTTGTAAAAAGAATTTGTGTGTGCGTAAAAAAGATTTGTGTGTGGACTTAGCCAAAAAATACGTGTGAAACTCTGCACTCAAGTTACAAGTATAAATTTTGACCCTATTTTTCTTCCTTTCATCTGATTGGCCAATGTCATGTCAATCACAAATTTAACTATCCAATCAGATGAACAGATCGGTTTGGCTATTGGAGGAGGCAGGAGGATTAGAGCTCCTCTGCATGTTGTGTTCACTTTAGTGATGGTAAATTTGATTATTTTTACTGAATCGGATTTAAATGAGTCACTCACCAAAGTGAATCGAGTTTTTTGAGTCATTTGATTCACTGAGTCAGTTGACCAGAGAGTGCAAAAAAATTTACATTTTCACCCAAACGTAATTAGTTTCTCTTTTCATGTAAATCCCACTGCTAAGATGAATGATTCTAAAAAAAACCCCAACTATTTTATAGAGCAAAAAAAGAGCAAAAACATTTCTAAAATTAAGCAATTTCCTATCAAAATTGCTTAATAAACATTTATTTTGTTTATTTGTATTTTATTAGTATTTTTCTTAAATGTGTCAAATATATATTTTCTCATTTAAATGTCCACTGAGCTGTGAGCCAGGGGGCGGTAATGCGCCTTAACATTGGTTGCCAACCAAGAAGAAGAAGAAGAAGCTGTGAGCCAGGAGGGAGGGGGTGAGTGAGTGAGAGGCTGTATCCCAATTCAGGGTCTGCAGCCTTAAAGTACACAGCCTCAACGGTCCACAAGGGCCTAGTACTCAAAGACCGCTAAGGCCGGAAGTGCGAGGCTTGTGAAATGGGCTCCGTTGCGCTGCCCAGGTTGCCTAGCAACCATGATACTAACAGCTGGAAATGTTTCATACAGCTTTATTTGACAGAAATGAAAGAGAAAATATTTTGTTCAATTGTTTGTTTGTTTCTACATGAGCTTTGATCATTCTCTGTAAGATTAAGGTCAGCTGTTGAACGGCGTATATTTTAAAGTAAAGGCTTTAAGTTAGTACAAACGTCACTAATGTCACATGACTTTGCAGACATGTGGCCAACAGTAATGTTTTAATGTTCTTCGTTATTAAACATTTGCACATAAATAAGTGACATAATATTCAGTACTTACTTAAAGTTTACTCTTTGGGCGCCCCTCATCCGCTGTTTTTTTCGGCAAAATTATCCACACCCATCGCCGCGCTATGCATTCTGGGATATGTTGGGCCACGAAGTCTACACCGCCACCTCCTTAAAATTCAGGGAAATGAAGGACGCACTTGAGGGCCGCATTTCAAGCAGCCTTTGAATTGGGACAGCCTTCGTCGCGTTGCTGTGACGTAATCGGCCTTAAAATGCGGCCTTTAAGGCTGCAGACCCTGAATTGGGAGACAGCCAACGATTCGTTCGCTCTATGATTCAGCACAGGAGGCAGGGGGTGAGCGAGTCCTGAGTGATTCGTTCGCTCTATGATTCAGCACAGGAGGCAGGGGGTGAGCGAGTACTAATGGAATTAGTTTGCTAACAGCAACAGGGATGAGTCAGTGAGTCAGTTGGGCTTGTGAATCATGATTCACGAGTCAGTAAAGTGATTCTCGAGTATTGAACGATTCGTTCACGATTCGAACATCACTAGTTCACTTAGTTTTTGGGTCCAGGCAGGAGAGGACCCAGATGCAGACTCATACGCGGAGAAAAAAAGAGAGAACTCAAAACACTGCTTTATTGCAGGCGTGCAAGATATGCAAAGAATAAACTACACTGGGAAATGCTAAACTAAGACATGGGGAGACCCACAGGGAGACACAGCCATGATGGACGATGCCACACCGAACTAACGAGGAACGTAGGAGCACACAGGGAACACAGCTGACACGAATAATGATAGTAGTGAGACAGGGCAAGAGTAACACAAAATGAGGGACACAGACGGAGACTATCCTTCTGCTCTTGCTCTTGACGAAGGCGGTCGCACTTTTCTCCTCTCCTCCTCCTCTCTCTTAGCTTCCCTGCTTAGCCTCTTATGTCCTTGTCTAGTCTCTCTCACAGTCTGAAGAAAAAGAGGAATTATGGATTGGATCAACTGGTCCCTAAATGCAATTGACACCCCTTTCTCAACGAGTGCTGAAGATATCTACCTATTCCAGGGGTCGGCAACCCGCGGCTCCGGAGCCGCATGCGGCTCTTTAGTCTTTATTTTGCGGCTCCGGGTGGTTTGGGAAATTAAATTAGAAGTATTTAGCTGAAGTATATTTTATTTGTGTTTAGTTCTTCTATTAACTTGTAGTTCTAAATTGGAAGATTATTGTGATATTGAAATATAAAAATAAAATTATATCTTTTTTTTTTTTTTCTCAAAATAAGCGTAACACTCGCGGAAGCTAGTATACCCGCCGAAACGCCTGCAGAGGTTCAGGACCAGAAGTCCCATTGTAAACATATCACGGCAGACCCGACGATGTTTGCATGAACACGCTTTTCAGCATGTCTTTATCGATCGCTTTTCACACACGGTTGTTGTACGCATACAGCCGGCTGTAGCTTTTCAGCTCACAGCCCGACACAGACCAACACAACAGCAGAGAGAGCACAGACTTTAAGGCGGTGAGGCGTGATTGCGGGTGCCGCTCAGGTGCGTCCGACTCCATACAGCGGCACTGCAGACCACGCCCCGCCACACACATTAACCAAGTAAAATACATATTTAGATTTTAGAATTCAGAATTTTTGCAAATATCTATTTTTTTTTA